ACCTCTCTCTCTCCTCTCCACCTCCCTCACTCCTCTCTACCCCCCCTCTCTCCTCTTTTCACCTCCCTCTCTCCTCTCCACCCTCCCTCCTCTCCTCCACCTCCTCTACCCTCCTCTGCGCCCTTCTTCCCCTTCCCATCTCATCCTACCCCTCTATCTCCCTCTCCTCTCCCCTCCTCTCCTCTCCACCTCCTCTCTCTCCTCTCCACCTCCCTCCTCTCCCCTTCCTCCCACCCCTCCTTCTCCCCCTCCTTCCCACCCCTCTCTCCCCTTTCACCCCCTCTCCTCTCCCCTTCTTCCCCTCTCTTTTTCCCCTTTCTCCCTCTCTCCCCCTTCCCACCCCTCTCTCCTCTCCACCTCCCTCTTCCTCCCCTTCCCCCCTCTCCCCTCTCCACCCTCCCTCTCTCCCCTCCCACCTTCTCACTCCCTTCCCACCCCTCTTCTCCCCTTTCTTCCCTCTCTCCCCTTTCTCCCTCTCCCCTCTCCACCTCCCTCTCTCCCCTCTGTCGTCTATATTCTCTCTGATAAACAGCATTCAGAGATGGAGATGCTGATAAGAAACGGGTTCAGAGGCATAAACTGTTTTGCTTGAGTGTGGCGAATATTCTTGCAAATTTCGTCCTGGTTTGCAATATTCAATAGCCCTTCTAACAGAGAGGAATAAGGGTCATGGGGTTGTTTATCGATGAAAGGGGTGTATATGCATACATATGGATGTGTCTGTTTGTGTCTGTGTGTGTGTTTGTGTGTGTTGTGTGTTGAGTTTGTGTGTGTGTGTGTTCGTGTGTGTGTTTTGATTGTGTGTGTGTGTATGAGTGTGTGTGTGTGTGTGTGTGTGTCGTGTGTAATGTGTGTGTGTGTGTTGTGTGTGTCGTGTGGTGTGTGTGTGTGATGATGTGTCTGTGTGTTGGTTTGTGTGTGTGTGTGTGTGTATGAGTTGTCGTGTGTGTGTGTGTTTGTGTTGTGTGTTTGTTTGTGTGTGTGTGTGTGTGTGTGTGTATGAGTTTGTTGTGTGTGTGTGGTTTGTGTGTCGTGTGTAGTTGGTGTTGTGTGTGTGTGTGTGTGTTGTGTAAGAGTTTGTGTGTCTGTGTTTGAGTGTGTGTGTGAGTTTGTGTGTGTATGAGTGTGTGTGTGAGTGTGTGAGGAATTTATACGTTAATTTTTTGCGTTGAAACTCCTCAAGAAAAAAGACCGCAAGCCACATTATGATAATAACACATCATTATTCATGCTTGGGTTTCATTATTGCTGCTATTATTGTTGTTCTTATCAATATTAGATTACCATTTTCATTATAGTCATTATTGTTTTTCTTTTTCTTTCTTCTTGTTATTATCATTATAAAAAATATCATAATCATTATCTTTATTGCCATTATTGTCATTAAGATGATTAATGATATAGTATATGATGAAAATGATAATAACAATAGTAATGATAATTATGAGAGATGATAATGATGATAATGATAATAATCATAATAATTATGATAATAATAGTAATGATCATATAATGGTAACAAGAATGATAATAATAATATATAATATAATAATGATAATAATAATAATGACAATAAAGATGATAATAATGATAAAATGGTAATGATGAATACTAATGATAATAAGTAATGATAAAGATAATAGTAATAGGAACAACAATCACTAACAATAATTTTATTTTCATCACCATAATTATTCTTACTACTATTATCATCATTATTGCCATCATCGTTATTACCATTATCTTAATTATCATCATTAAAATCTCCATTTTCATTGCTACTGTTGCCGCTGCTGTTGTCATGATTATCTTCATTATTACTGTTGCTATCATCATTGTCACTATCATACTATCATATCATCATCATTGTTGTTAGTATCTGATATTCTTATTATAGTAATCACTACTATGATTAATATATCTTTACTATGTCTTATCACTTTTATCATCACTATTCTTATTATCATTTTATAACCATCTATTATAATAAGGATAACAATAGTTATTGCTATTATCATCATTACTATTACTACTGCTATTATCATAACTATTATTACTATTATTATCTTTATTATTATTGTTATTATCATAATTGCTATTATTGTTATCGTTATTATAATTGTTATTATTGTTACCGTTATTATAATTGTTATATTGTTATATTATTAATGTCATAATCATTATCATTATTTTTAGTATCATAATTGTTACTATTATCATTATCCTCATTGTTGCTATTACTATTACGGTTATCATTATCATCATAATTGATCTAATTTATCATATAATCATTATCATTATCAGAACGCTCTTAGTTGTGTTTTTTTGTTGTTCTTTTGTTGTTATTATTACTATCATTACTGTTATTCTCATTACTACTATCATTACTACTCTCATTCATTATCATTATCGTTACAAGTAGTGTTTTTATTATCTTTTTTTCATACTATTTTTGTTCATATCATTAAAGTTTTTACCAGAACTACATATATTGCGATCA